TTCAGCAATGCGAATAATGTACGTGGCCTATACGACCGATGAGTTTAAAGTCTTTAGCTCACACACACACACACACGCAGAGAATATGTTTACAAAACCTCAGTTTCCTAGTTTTGTCAGTTCCCGAAGTCACTTCCCGCCAAAGAAATTTGCATATTTTTCCGGGAAATTTGCATATTTTACTTGACGCTTAGGTTTTCACAAGCGTTAATTTTAAAACGAGTTTGTGACACACACACGCGGTGGAAATATGCTCCCAAAATTTCAGCCTTCTAGCTTCCCTGCTTGCTGATTGAAGTACACTCGCCTACGGACACACAAACACACGCACACACAGACACACACAACCTCTTGACAACGTGCGTCTTCGCATTTACGTAAGAAACAAAAACGTGTAGCGAAACATTAATAACTACTGTGACGAGGATGTTGATGAGTGAGATGCCTGGCCGTCGAAGTCGCTGCGTCGAAAGTAGTCTCCTGAATTTCCCGTATAAAACAAAGATTCTCAGTCAGCCGATCCCGGTTTCTTCTACTGCCTTCCTCGGGAAAAAGCTAAACAGTTTTAGGAATGGGCTAGCCAAAAAACTTCCATGTTTTTCCAGACCTTCTTACCTTACTTGAGATCTACGATTATTAAAACGGCAGACGACGTTATAACGGATATTTCCAACGCCCTAGATGTTTTCACCTCTGGTATAGCAAATCGCGCCGGTACCACTATTCCAGAATATGACAACTTCAAAAATAGATCTCGGCCGTGTTGGTTATGCTCCTGGTGGCGCATGATCTGCCTTGCTGTAGCTCCCAGCACACCTGGGGCTTTCGTCGGTCATTTCCTGAATCTTGTAGTATTCATCCTGTCTGGGGGTTTTGGGATGGAGGAGACTGGAAAGGGCTCAGTTGTCAGGAATGGCAGCACAGCTGCGCAGATAAAGGGATTTATGTGCTCAGTTATAGTGTGAAATACTTGTTTTCGCATAGTGCTGTGTCAGTGTATGTCAGATGCAGATGATAATGATTTATTATTCTATTTTTATGCGTTTTTTGCACCTGTGTAATGCAAAAACTCATATTGCCGAGTGGTTGTTTGCGTGTGTGTCTTTGTGTGTGTGTGTGTCTGTGCGTATTTGTGTGTATGTGTGTCTGTGCGTATTTGTGTGTATGTTTGTATATTTGTATGTTTGTATATTTGTGTGTATGTATGTACGTATGTGTGTGCGTGTGTGTGTGTGTGTGTGTGTGTGTGTGTGTACCGATATCCCGAGACCCAGAAAAACTAAACGGCTGGAACTTTAGCAGCTTAGTTTGCACCGGTGTATGAGCCCCCAGTCTCGAAATGTTCTCACACGTCTGTGTGGTACTCATGTATTGACACATGAAAATTTTGGCGGGGAGACCACCAACTCGGGAACTGAGCCGAGGTACGTGGGGGGCGAGAAGGGGG